TCAGGTTGTCCTGTTCTGTGACATGATTCTTTGACACAACAGCAGTTTCCCTCTTTCCATAAACAACCTGATCAGACAGCTGCAAAAAAAAAGGCGGAGTGTTTTTGAGTCAATAAGTGTAGATTTACTGAAAACAAAAAATAACAAATAAATTGTAAATATCTACTAAGAATGGTAAATGGCCTGTATTTGTATAGCGCTTTACTAGTCCATAAGGACCCCAAAGCGCTTTACACAACCAGTCATTCACACACTGGTGATGGCAAGCTACATTGTAGCCACAGCCACCCTGGGGCGCACTGACAGAGGCGAGGCTGCCGGACACTGGCGCCACCGGGCCCTCTGACCACCACCAGTAGGCAACGGGTGAAGTGTCTCCCCCAAGGACACAACGACCGAGACTGTCCAAGCCGGGGCTCGAACCGGCAACCTTCCGATTACAAGGCGAACTCCCAACTCTTGAGCCACGATCGCCCCAAAGAGCCACTGCTTAGAAGTGAAAAATGGTATTATTTGTACTGATTGTACCACTTTTGTTCCTTATATGTAATTGAGTCAAAGATAAATAAAAAACAAATAGTGAATTATTAAATCAATTTTAGTAGAAAAAAGACTCGCAGTAAAAATAAACAACTATATATGACTTTTGGGTATAATATAAAACTCAGGAAATCAGATGTTTCATAATTATAAGCTTGAAAATGTGTACAAGTGTTTTAACCTTCTCAATGGATCACTGTTTAATGTTATACAATGCTGTGGCATTATCCAGTGTACTATCGAACTTAAAGTCCTACATTATAACGTGCTATTTCTTAAAAAAGATGGGTCTACAAATGGCTTGACATCACTTGCACTAGTTTTAGGTCACAGGGAATATGATCAGATATGGTGTTGTCACTTTTCATGCCACAAATTTTACTAATTTGTGGAAATCCTACACAAAACAACACCTGTCTCAACATGTAGAACAATGTTGCAAACACATAATCTGAGCATTTCATTAATTTACCACTGTTTTGATGTTAGGACCACAGGTGTAGGAGTAGGTAGGGGTGAAGGTTTGGAAGTTTGAAAAGTTCTGGGCCGCTGCAGATTTATCAGATGTCACTGTCTGTCAGATAGCTTGATCTCATATGCGGTTCCTCACCTGATAAAAGGGGTTGATATGAGACAATTTAGGCTTATTTTGAACTTGTGCAAAAAGCTGCTGAGCTACTAGAGTCCAGGTGTCAAACAGAAATGGCATAAGTTGTCCCTCTGCAAACCCTGAAAGGATGAGCCTGGTATAGTTAATCATATGTTATTTTCTTGTGTGTGATTGATGTTTTCATAAAGTATCCCAGTCTCTCTCTCTCTCACTCTCTCTCTCTCCTTTCCATGTTTTCAGTGGTGTTTTCCCTAACTTGATGTTATCAGTCTACCCACTTTGTTTCATTCAGCCCACCTCACTGTAATCTAAGAAATTCCTGTGATGTTTTGAGCTTTAGGTCTGCTGTGAGCATTTTTTTTTTCTGAAGGAAAGGGCAAACATGATGATCATGATGATGAGATGGGGGGTGGTGTAGGAGGAGGAGTGCATTTCTGTGGAGCTCTCACACATTCCTTCCCTTCATTCAGCAGCTGGCAAAGAGCTCCACCTCTGTTGCTGTCACTCTAGCGTAGAATTTATCAGATTGTAGCCGCCATTTCGCTGAGATCCTTTAGCGTTCCCCTGTATTTGGAATTCTTGGTTTCTGCAAGCTCATTTGCTTTGAGTCACGCTCATCCACATCCACACAGCTGTCGACTTGACATTCCTCGCTGACGTTATTCTCCAATAAAAGTACAGGACCCGCTGCATGAACCCTCTCTGCTGTCAGCTCTTACAGCCGTTTGTTCTCGCCCAGTGAAAGGCCCTGTGTGTATGGCTGGCCATGCAGAGCTCTCTGCCTTCCTGTCTAAAAGTATCAACAATCCCATTTCCTACCATTCATCACACAGTGTCACTTAGAATAAGATGGCCCTCTGTCACAACAAACACAAAGTCGAGCAATCTCAGTTTTAAAGTTTAAACTCTGTACTGTCCTCTGCTTTACATGACACTTTCCCACACAGGCAGTTTTTAAGAAATTTCTCCAAATATTTCTTCTTTCCCAGGGGCGCTGTTAGCCAGCAGCTGCTCCTCTGTATGATTGGTCAGACATCTCTGCCTCTCCCTTAGGGTTTCTAAAAAAGAAATGTTTGTTCTTCTCAGCCATAGGTCGAATACAGGCCAAGTCTCTGGGGAACCTGTCCAGTCTGACAGGGGAGGACCTCCCCCTTCCGGCCGGTTGGACCGTTGACTGGACCATCCGTGGCAGGAAGTACTACATCGACCACAACACTAACACTACACACTGGAGCCACCCTCTCGAGAGGGAGGGGCTCCCTCCAGGCTGGGAGAAGGTGGAGTCCGCTGAGTTTGGGGTCTACTATGTGGATCACATAAACAAGAGGGCACAATACCGTCATCCATGTGCTCCAAGGTATGAAGCATTAAAAAACGCTGCTTTTAGTTTTTTAAGCAACTAAAGTTCTACTACTTCTTTACTTAGTAGAAAACTTACCTCATCACAATAGAGATGATGTTTCTTTGTATTCTAGCGTACCTCGTTACGATCAGCCCCCACCACTACCACCTCCCGTGGCCTATCAGCCACGTCCTGCAGAGAGGAACCAGCCAGTCCTCGTGCCAGCTAACCCATACCACACAGCCGAGATCCCAGACTGGCTGCAGGTGTATGCTCGTGCACCACTCAAGTGAGTCTAACTCAGTCTTACCTGACATTTGTCTAGTTAATAGTATTCTGGTCAGTCAGTAATCGGTAAATGTACAAACAAAGGGAGGTACTAAAAGGAGGAATTTATGGAAGTCACTGGCGGGGGGGAATGCTACCCATAAGTCAAAATTCGGGGTTAGTATCTCAAAATTTCAACTTAATAATTCTAAGTTTCTTATTCTACTTTTTATTTAATCCTGGACATAATTTTTTTTGATAGTAACCAAATAGGCGAGTTATTTTCAAGCTCTTACCAAAAGTGTAGAATCAGTATTTTTTGGTAGTTTTGGTCAATTGACAATACTTATGGAAATGGAAAAGCATGATGTTTATCCTTAACCTAAATATGTAATGTATTTATTGTATAGTGTTTTTTAATACCTCAAAAACATGTATGTTTAATTGTGGAAAACTGCATTCCAAATCGGTGTTTATTTCAGGGTTTGTACATATTGAATAGAGAAGCCCTGAAAAAAAATCTTACCAAATAAAAGTATTTTTGTCACAAAGAAGTGACTGGATAGATCTTCAAACCAGCCCAAAGGGTAACTTTAAAGGTACAGTGACTCTCCTCTCCTTTACATCAGGTACGACCACATCTTGAAGTGGGAGCTGTTCCAGCTGGCAGACCTGGACACGTACCAGGGAATGCTGAAGCTGCTCTTCATGAAGGAGCTCGAACACATCGTCAAGTCCTATGAGGCGTACCGGCAGGCGCTGCTGTCGGAGGTGGAGGCACGCAAACAGCGGCAACAGTGGTACGCCCAGCAGTCCAACAAGAACTTCATAGGGAACATGTGATGTGTGTGTGCGTGTGTGTGCAGCAGGGACTTCTCAGTGCCACACCTCTCTGAGGTTTCCTCAGTTTGGGAGCGGTCAGAGCTGCCTTTGAAATCATGATTGACTCTTAATTGCCTCTTTACCAAACACATCTGTGCCTTTGCTTGATCCAAATATATCAGCCAGGAGGTTGAGACACATATATGGCCAGGGTGGGGGCCATGTGACACTCTGTTTATGGATGACTGATAGAAACAAAAACAAAACAAAACACTAGAATGAAGAAAAAATGTGTTGCATCATGGGAAACTGCTTGTGGTTCTATTGAAAGCCACCGACCTGGGAAAATTGCTGTTTGAATTCCTTTTTTAAAGACTGAGAAGCACAGAGTGTGAAAAATCAGCTCTGGGTATTTGTTACAAAAGCATCCTGACATTGTGCCTTTAATAAAACAAAGTGCAGCAGTTTTACGTCTGCTCATATCGTGTATACGCCAGCTACTCCGTCATTTTTTCCTGTGGGAGAAAGCGACAGGCAGCTTTTTCTAATTTGACTTCATGGCTTCTTTCCTTTGCTCTGTTACTATCATAAACTGAAACCACACAAAGAAAGTGTACATTGTTCCTTTTTTTATGACATACTTTTAAGACAATCCACCAAAACCTTAACAGATATATAATTTTACATTTTTCTTTTTTGATTGATGAAGCATCAGATTTGATGTGGTGGTTTGAACGTCTCTCGGCATTATTGTTCGTCAGGAAAATTCACGTTCTTGTGCATTTAATTAAACACAAATAAGCTACTGGAACTTTTTTTTAAAGAAGTCACATTCATTTTGCCAAAAACTTTACTTTCCCTTTGTTTCAGTTTTTCATGCTTTATGTTTATGGCCTGACATCTTGCTTCACTGATATAACAGAAGTCCAGGTTCTTGGACACATATTCTACTGATCACTAATCAGCTTTTATCTCCTCTTAAGATACTCAGAAATGTTTTCTTACTTTTTTTTTGTCTACTGGAGACCAGTGATAATGTGTTATTCTCAGTATATAAAATGTTTAAGGAGTCCTGTGTATCAGAGGAACCTAAACATTTCTGAATGTCCTAATTGGGAGCAGTGGAATAGGTTTGTACAGAACATTGGGCTTCTCTTTGGGCCTCTATCACATCGCCTCAGAACAATGTCTACAGTTTGTTCATACCTGATTTTGTGAATTGCAATTACAGGACATAAGCAATAAAGTCTGCAGTGAAGAAAAATACACGTATGGATGTACAGTTGTTGCCTCCTGCTGCTTGCCGGTCTTCCCACAGTGTTTTATAATGGCAGAGCCATTTAAAACACGCCTTGTCAGACTTGTATTTAAAACATTTCTGATTGTAAGAAAACTCAAGTCTAGATTTCATTAATTTGGTCCATCTTTATTAGGTCTTTTCTTTGCAACTGAATTTTTTTTGCAATGCGTGTGCTGAAAACTAAGCAGAGTCAATTTGAAGGAGCTCACAAAAAAAGGTTGATTCATTTGACCTTTCAGTCCTCCCACCACATTGAGAGGTGATGCTTTAGGAATGAAAGAAAAGCTCTGTCTCACAGACGAGATATTCCAACACAGTGTAAACAAATACTGTTCTTCTGACTTCTTAATGGACACAACACCCAAAAACATAGTCATGAAATAGAAAGGGATTTCAGAACATCACGAATCTTAAACTGGTCTTGGATGGTTCTTTGTGTGAAGGCCTCGCTGATGTTGATTATAGATTGTGGAAGACTCTAGAAGCCACTCTGCTGCAGTGCCTTTAAATTTTCAACCCTTGAGGTCGAACCTCACTATAAACTTGCTAAATATGCATGACAGTGTTCCTGTACGGTTGGTGAGCAGATCTAAATGGGAGGGGGGAAGAAAAAGAAAAAAGACATAGAAAAGTTTTGCTGCAGCTTTGTATGTGATGCAGACATTTTACAGCGCAGTGACTCAAGGAGTTAAAACAGTGACCGCAGTTGTACAAATATACAGTAACAGTCTACTAAGCCGAAGTATTCAAACACCAAAAAAGAGCCATCACCGATACAAGCCTTTTGTTTAAAAATGCAAGCTGTTGTGGAAACACGAAAAGCCTCTTTCACCATGCAGCAGTTTTGCACAGATGATTCGGTTTAAGTGTGAGAAGATGATGAAAGAGATGTGGAATGAGGCTCCGTTTCCAAAGCAGGCCTGTCGCCACGCCTAATAGCATCTAGCTTTGATTCCCCCGGTGGCCACAGAATAGCTACATTCCTCGGATTTGCTCGAACATTCAGTGAAACACACAACAATGGCTTCGGCAGCCCCCGCCCCCCCAACTACATCACAATGGAAACCTAACCTTGCTCTTTCCTCCCAAACCTCAAAAGCCAAACGCACATATAACGATCACTGGGATGATGCGTGATTACAAAACTGCAAGCAGACTATAAAGTGAGATAATGTCGGCTATGTTATGTAAACTTTTGTCTCTCCCACCAGTGCCGTAGCACACAGATACACCAAACCCTAAAACTAACTCGTGTGCCATGGAGTGTCTGCATGTAGCCAGGCTGCAGCAGGTGAGAAATCTTTTTTTTCTCTTTTTTTTTTTACATGTTATGGCACAATACCAGTTAGTCACAACCATTCAGCTATTTTTTTATAAAGTATACCTGCATTTAGAGCTTAAAGATGACAGACATTAACCACTTACCATGCTGATGATGTTTGTAACGCCTCATTATTTAATATACAGTACATATTTTGTCTTTCAAACATTGCAGGTCATAGATATTGTTCCTTATAAACAACACTAAAACTTCAAAGAACAGAACAATTGTCACAAATGGGGGTTTCACAGATTTGAATATACTTTAAAAATCATTGTCAGTGACGAATGATGGAGAAAAAAATAAAAATAAACGCTCGATGAGAAATAAACAGCAGTCTCCTCCAGCAGAGTGCCCGCGGTATTTGTACAGGTGTGTTTGCTGCACGAACTAAAGGTGAAAGACCATGACACATTGCATCCAATGCTTAGAAGCAGCCACCCACTGAGGAGATGCTCTCGGCATATGCATGAACATTAAACAGTCCGTTATAAGGGTTAAAGAAGTGAACGACCAGTAGTGGCTTGCTGCAGCAGCCAGTACCAGAGTTAAAGAGTGCCTGATGGATGAGGGCATTCATCTGCCTTCCTCCTCCTCCGCTTCCTCCCTCGGTCCATCACGAGGAAATCTCTGACATGTTCTGTCTTTGAACTAATCAGTCCCTCTTCTTGTCCTGCTCCTCAGCCACCTCCTCCACCTGATGCCCGGGGAAGGCGTGGTGATACAGGTGCCTATGATTGGCTGCTACATTATACAGCTTGTAGAGAGCCTATGGAGAGAACATGGAGCTGGTTAGTTATTTATCTTATGGATTACTTTTGCAGGAAACACCAGAGTTACATTTTCACACATACACAAGATCACGACAACAAAGTCCATTCATTCATTTACCCATCATGCATGAACATGCTTATAGTATTAGAAAGCTGGTAAAGCTTATATTTCTAATATAAGCTGGTAAAGCTAAAGCTATGCACACATATTTTGTACAATGATCAGTGTATATCAAGTGGTTTATCACTGCATCTGTATACTTTTAGAAACAGAAACCGGGAGCTGGGATTTGGGTTTCTTCTTTAATCTAGTCATATGGATTAGAAGCATTTCAATACTGATGTTTTTTTGACTTCCTTTGTACCTTTGTAGACCTGAAAACAAGTTATTCTTATATAACTTATTCACTCTGTTTGCTCTCTTTATTTCCACACTGCTGAAACATGCACAGCAGGCTTCCAGTGGCTACTTTTATCAGTTTTCTTCATTCATATTTGATTTGAAACACTAAATCAGCTGCTTCATAAATGTTACATCTGCTGATTCTGACAACAAAAAATGGAAGGAGAAAGTAAGCTCCCTGAGAGCTGTTGTAAACCAGCTTGATTTAAGCCTGATTTAATAAGCTTAAAATGGGAAATCAGGGAGCACTCAGTTGATGTCTATACACAGCCCACTGTTTACATATAAAATTTAAACTTTAGGTCATTTTTCAGGACAATCCGAGTATATTTTCTGCACAAAATATGAAAACAAACTCAATTTGAATTTGATTAACACGTCATTCACAATCATTCACAACTAAAAAGGCTATAGAAGGTTAAAGATATGTAATATAATCTGCTTTAAAGTCAAATGCCATGGATTTATGAGTCTCGGCTTTTTCAGTCCTGGGCACATTTTGTTTCAGAAATTTAGACCAGGAAGGGAAGCAGTCTGTTTGGAAAAAGCTTTGTTTGCATCGGGCCAACGGCATTAAAAACTGCCCTATTACCATAAAAATAGGCCTTTCATCAAAGTGCTGATCGGCCTAATAATAACTATTATTCATAGAGTAATATAACAATGCAAATTTTGATCCAAGAGGGAAATCATCTGAAATCTTAATTTGAAAATATCTTCAGCAACTGTTTAAACTATGTATAGACGAGCCCAATATGATTTCAACCATCAAAGCTGAAAGCAACCTGTTCATCAACAGTATCAAATCTCTTAGAGTGGAGAGGAGAGCAGAGGCCGTGATATCTGCTAAACTGAGATGGTTTACTGTAACAGAAAAATCAGGCGTTCATACTATTCATCATAACAATCAAATAAAGTCATTAAAAATTAAGACAGAGAATTTTTAATTCATAAAGCAGCCTTAAGGTGTGAATTGAGGTGTCTTCATTCAGGGAACATAAGGCTGCACAAGAGGAAATTTAACTGTAGCTCAGATAATTTGAGCAGAACTTGAGCTTGACGACAACAATCTCATAGAAATGCACCAGTAGCAATGTGTTCTTGTTAATACTTCCAATTGATTTGCTCCTCTTACCTCGTTTGTGCTCCCCTGCAGAGGCGTTAAAAGAAACAAACATACAGTGTGAGCACATGTAGTGAACATGTAACACAAACAGCACAGACAGATTCTTCGTTAACAGTGCACAATTGTTGCTCTTAGGCTTGTATGGATTTGTTGCCGCCACTAATAAAGGAGGCTTTTGCCCCCTAGTGGTTTAAAGACACTCTTTCATTTCTAACAGATGTGGATGGATACTGTGTATTGTATTTGTCTTTAATGGCTAATTTTAAAGCAAAAAAGCCATATTCTCATATTAAAATAAAGTAAATGTGAACAGATAAAAGAAAAGGTAATGATTAATAATTATTAATTATTTTTACCAGTCACTCTGGTTTCATATGTTTTTCCTCAGTCTTCATCCTTTGTAACAGCTAGAGCAGCTAGAGCTCCAACCATGTGTTTTATTGCTAATAGCAAATCTCATATCTTTTGTGCTGCTGTTAAAGGCTAAAGATGTGAACGTTTCCCTTCTAAACCATGAGGTAATTTAATGACACACATCAGTGAAGTTGATTCAAAACACACTTTAACTAAAATACAGCAAAAGTTCAAATTGTTCTGATAAAGTGGGGATATTGCATGACCTTTAAAGTGTCTGCTTATTTTTATTTGTTCTCTAAATAGGGTCAAAAACATTCAATCACTAGAGATTATTAGCTTATTTTAACCTTCTGATCCCCTAGTCTGCTGTATATCAGCAGACTAGCATATCAGACTAGCATATCAGCTCCTTTCACAGGAAAGGAGCTGATATGCATTATTATTTTAGTTTGTTAAAAATTTCTATGCTTATTTGGATGAAATTGCTCTTTAGTGTTTGTTTACAGTACAGCTTCAGATCCAGATGTCCAGCAGCAGCCTGTATTCAGTTTGAATATTGCTATAAACTGCTATGGATCCATTTATGTCTTTTATTTACTGTGACATTTAAATTCACCCAATAAAGCTGTAGCTTCTGCTTTCCCACATTCATTGATGAAGATTTCACATAATTAAGCAGTGTGTTGTCCCACTTGCTCTTATAATACTACATATCTATTCTCTACTCGTAAAAGTGGAGTACATGCTGCTCTCTGCTGCATCTGCATAAAGGGAGGGTTTGTACAATAATGCTACTGTCAGTGCTTGATGATTTGGTGGATTGCCTCAATCTGATTAAGAGACTGAAATAATTTTGTGCATGTTTTTCATCTTATCTGCTTTGCCACAAATGGTTCATTAAATTCTTTAATGACAGAGTCTTGTCTCGGGTTTGATAACTAAAGGCTCCACCCAAAACGGGTGGAATATATATTAACCCCTTAGCAGTCCAATTAGTCCCCTAAACCATCCAATGTACCGTGGGCGGTACGTCCGACTGCTAACAGGTTAAAATCTTTGATTATTCACTCTGAAATATTCTTAGACAGTTTGCTTTTGAGGGTAACATTGTGATGTTTATCCAGTTGAACTGAGGTTTGCAAATGTGAAAAGGGTTGATTACATCTGGAAACATATTCCATTAACATTACAGGACACTGTAAGGACATTCTGTTTGGGAGTCGAGCCCCCGTAAAAGTTTGAACCTACAATTGTCCCTAAACTAATCAAACCGCAAGAGATACCAGACCTGATAACAGTATAAGTGCTCAAAACCTGAATGCATGTGATGATTTTCACTCACCTGACATCTTTTCAATACCAAACAAATCGTTCTCCTTTTTTCTTACTTTTATAAGTTGTACAAAGTCTAAGCAGCCACCATTACCATCTAACTACTGATAAGTTAGACAGGTTATTCTTTTTATTTACCTGGTCCCACAGCGCACCAGCAACCTGGTCAATGACGGCACCGAGTTCTCGATATTCCCCAGAGTATCGGATGTAAGCCCAGGTGCACAGAGTGATCAGTGCCAGGCCGAGGATCATGTTGCACAAGCTGGCAATGATGTCCACGCCCACAAAGCCTGTGATACCCGCGGCTACGTACATGACAAAGATGACCACGAACAGTGTGGCCGGCGTGCGGGCTGCGTGGAAAATGTTCTTGGAGTCATTGTGCTTGATGTACTGGACGAACACCTCGTCGATCTCTCCCTCCAGCTGCTGCAGGTAGCGCCGGCTGAACTCTTCACCTCCCATCTTCTTCACACCCTTAAACACCTGCAGCGCCTCCTCTCTGATGGCGCTATGTCGGGCTTGCAGCTCACTGGGGGCGAGGAAAGGCCGATCACCTCCACAGACCTGTGCGAAGTGACAGCAGTGAGTCGGTGAAGTCACTTGGTAGCTACTGGACATTCACTTACAAATCTGTTTTCACCTACCTCCTCCATTTTCTTGTTGTACAGATCTTTTGCAGCTGCAACAGCTGCTAAATTATTTGCCTCAGCTGTGGCCTGAGGGGAAGCAAATGGAAATATCATGTAAGGATCAATGTCAGCAACCAGAAATTAACAGTATGGATAAGCTTACAGCAGTGATCAGAGGTTTACGTCCACTCATCATTGATTTTCATGGTTATTTGGGGCTTTTAAGGATTTCTTTGAACTCTTCTTATATTATTATTAGATTCAGGCTCAAATATATACATACATCTAAGCTCATATTTTGTAGTATTTTTAGTAGCCATCAACAACCTTCTGGCATAATTATGGCTGGATATTTGACCACAGCCCTGGCTTTTAAGCATAGTCAACAAATTTTCACTAAGGTTGAGGTTGGGGCTTTGGGAAGGCCATTTCATAACTTTTGATGTGTGTTTGGGAACATTGTCTCATAAGTTTCCTCTAGCTGTTGATCTGAGACGAAGTTGAAGAATTTGGAGATAATCCTCCTCCTTTATTCCATCCACTTTGTGCAATGTACCAGTACCACTAGCAGCAAAACAGAGCATGATGCTAGCACCACCATGTTGAACAGCTTGTACAGTGTTCTTAAGTTTGAAGGCTTGAGCCTCGGTGGTTCCTGCGTTGTTCCTGAAAATCCTAATGAAGTTCCTCTCATGTAGGGGCAATTTTGGGTTTTCTTCCAGACCTTAGCAAAGTGGTGACACATTTGTTTGAACTGATTATCTTGGAACCTGCAGTTGTTTAGAAATGGCTCCAAGAGATCTTCCTAACTTATCTAACTCTACATTTCTACTTCTTGGATCTTCATTGAGTTCCTTGGAGTTTCCCATTGTTCTGAGTATTGATCAATCCAATGATTGCTGTCAAACAAATTCTTTTTATGCGGCAAAGACAAACTACCAGTTGCTGTCAATCATGATCACTGATGAAAAGTTAACAGACCTCGGCTGTCACAGTTTAAAATACTGCGAGATCAATTACAAGACTAAAGTAACTGTAAATATATATTTCAACATGCATGTATACTTTTGACTCTCTGTGGAGTAGAGAAAATCCAAAAATGACAGTAATTAAATTTAAAATTGTGCACTTGGTTTTTGTTATTTAAGGTCATTAAGGATATATGCCATCCAATCATCCTATCCTGAAAACAAAACAGTTCAAAGAAACCATTATAATCTCCAAATTACCATTAAAATAATGTCCAGATGAGTGTATGTAAACCTCTGACCATAGGTGTATCTTGAGTGCAAAATAATCATTAAAAATATACCTGTAGCATTGACTTTGGATGTGGCAGCTCCTCGCCTTGGTAAATTTTGATGTAAGCCTACAAATACAAAAAAAAATACAAATGAAAAAGTTAATTTGTTACATTTGATCAGTCATATGCGGAAATATGGCACTTTAAATAAAGAAAAGACAGAGTCTGGTTGTTGTGCACATCACCACGATGCTTTGTTCTAACCTTGAAATACTCCAGCAGGCCTCTGCACGTGATTTTGCTGCCGTTGATCTCCTTCACGTCGATGTTGCGAGGACTGAGGAGCCAGGGGACCAAGACCGTCAGGTTGTTTATAAACTCACCATCAATCTCTAGACAGAGAGGACAACGACTGGTGAGTGTGTACAGCATGGCAAAGTCACTCACTGACAGCAGAAGCCTTCTTTGGGACAAAATGCAAGACCCCAAAAAAACCTGCCCAGCAAGGCCTCGACGAGCATTAGAAAAACCTCCAGAGCCCTCATATCTCAATCTGAGCATTTTCAGGATATATCTAAACATGTCTGATCTATAGAGGCCCCACCAGCATCTTTTAAGACCTAATATCCTGATCGCAGATATCGCAGGACAGACCGAGAGGTTCCATGTCATGATTGAAGTGAGGGAACTAAACAATATTAGGTGTTCAAAACTAGAAATACATTTGCAGAGTGCATCCTCCGCCAAGGTTAATGTCCAATGCTGATGCAGTATTTCAAATTTTATGGGGTCTTCTTTTGCCCGAGCGTCACCTCCTCACCAAGTTCCAAGAAATTTGCCTGCGAAGTTTTTCCCAAGCCTTTCACAAACAATACTATTCCTGAATTAAAGGTGCATGTGGTGTAAGTGAGCAATGAAGGAAATGTACCTTTGATTCTCCCATCAAAGTGTGGGTTGGTGGCCACTTTGAGGCCAGGGTGAGGCATCAGGAAGCAGGAGATGTTGGTGAAGCAGGAGTGGATGTGTTTCCGCACATTCTGCAGCTCTTCATGCTGGTTCTCTGAGATCTGCACCGCAAACACGAAGACAACAAGTTTAAGATGTGCTTTGGTTAAGCTAGTCTCAGCAGCCGTAAGCAACCACATCACTGCAAAGGCTGCACAGGAAACTGATGTGACAGGACTGAAAGTGGTGTGACCTTCTATCTCAGTAACATCTGTGATGTCTGACCTTAAGTCTCTTCTCGAGGAACTTCATGCCGCCTTCCTGTCCATAGGGAAACTCATATGGAAAACTCCAGTCTCGAACCAGGAAAATCATGGACTAGAAAGGAAATTATAATTCTTGTGTTATAAAGTGGGCTCACACACTCAAATAATTTTGAGACATAAAAATATGTTAATAGAAATACTAAATATATTTCCTTTAAATAGAAAATACCTGGAATGGTTTCAGGAAAGTCTCCTCCATAGCTAGTCTTCCATACTCAGTGAAAAGCTGAAATAAAGTAACAATATTGTAACAAGTAATTTGAAGAACTAATGTGTGAGGATGATAATTCTGATATTAATATATAAACAAGTCGAAGGAGTTGTAGTACTGTGCAAAAGTCTTGAACCACACCCAATTTATTTATATTTTGCTAGGAAAAAATGGAAATAGCTCCAGTTATTGAAACATGTGAAACCATATATGAAAACAGTTTATAAGGCATAAACAAAGCTCCTCTTTGGATTGTGGCCACCTTTTATTATGTCTTGTTTCAAGATAATCCCACACTGCTTCAATAATATTGAGGTGGGGAAACCAATCTACAACTTGCAGTGTTTCATTGTATTTTTTTCTTTCGAGGTATGCTTTTGCTGCATTGACAGTGTGTTTGTGTTTGATCCTTTTCATTGTTAAAAAATAATCTGAAAGAAGAGTATGGTAAACATAGGAAGAGATGGAGGAAGATGTGGCAAACCTAAAGGGACAAGCCAAAAGAAGAAGTCATGTTCAAAATTAAGACCTGCTGCCACTGATTTTCAGTCCAGTTCTTGTGTAATCTGGCCTACACCAGTCCTTTCACTTGGTTTCCCTTCCTTATAAATGGCTTCAGCAGCCTCCCTTCCACTGAGACCATTTCTGATAAGGCTTTAGTAAACAGTAGATGTACCAACTGAAGAGTCAGATGCATCTGTATAGTCCAGTGTCAGATCTTTGCTGGGTTCTTTTTTTCTGGTTTCTTAAGTTCACGACTTTCAGATACTGTTCACGTGCTGTAGATGGTTTATTTTAGACCTTTCATTTCTTTTTTTGTCCTCCGCTTGTTCAGTTTCCTCAAATTTTTAAGGACATACAGCACACCATGCTGAGATATGACATGCTCATACTTTGAGCTATTTGCTCTTTTTATGCTTAAATGATTCATAGGTCAGTGTTAAGTGGTTTATCGAGCAAAACAAAAAAACATTCCTGTGAAAACGGTCAGACACAACAACTAGACTGAAAATGAGTAAAAAGCAGCCAAAGTCCAAAAAGAAAAAGAAACTTTAAAAGACTGTCAGAAAGCCTGGAGAACTATTGATCAAGACCACTTTAAAATATATAAGAAGGTCTGGTGAAACGAAAGGAGGGGGGTAGCTGAGGACTTTAGTGCAGTACTGTATTTTCCTGTAATAACTGAAAGGCAATTTTACCTGCAAGTGCTGAAGGTCGTCCTCTTGCACATTCTGTGAGATGTTGTAAACCTGAGAGAGGCCATTGAGTTAGAGGGTTATTTTCTTTAAACATGTACAACTTGAAGAATGTGGTAAATTTGTCCAGGTTAAATTATTGACCAAATAGTCCATTAGGCATTATGGAACAAACGGAACTAGCAGGCATAATATGTAACACCTGTGTCTTAGTTTGGTGTGCTAGCATGGAAACCTTTGTTATAAATCTGAGCTTGTTACAAACAGAGGAACTATTTTATTTCCAAAACAAGCATGCAGCTAATTAACATTAGACCTCCGCCGAAAGAGGAAACAGGGTAGGGACAGATGGGCCATTTCTTCTGAACAATGATGCAGTTGGCAGGTGTGCTTGAGTAGAAAGAAAAGAACTAGTTTTGGAGACTTATCACCCAAAACTAGACGTCAGTCTTGTGGTGGCGCTATAGGAAAACTTCTGGGGTCATTAACGTCTCTAAAGAATTTCATGATAGTTTTATTTTTTTTTAAAAATCAACACTAAGATAGTCCATCCCAAGCAAACTTCAAAGTACATGCATGCATTTTTACAAATACTTAGTCTTTTCTAAAAGCTAAGCTGGATCAGATGACTGAAGGTCACTGCACCTGCATGGAGCTTATCATGGTGCTCAAGGCGAACACAGTGGCTGAATCCCTCAGCGTCGACTGGCTGTCAAATGTGCCTTGCGTGTCCATTAGCAGCACAGCAACCTGTGTGAGGAGACAGATGAACGCATTCACCTTTGCTGCAGGAGTCAATATGTTCGCCGTGGATGTGCTGCACTGAGGAAAGTGAGTTTTAATACAGCGTGTGGAGTGTTTACACTCCAGAGAACAGAAAGTGCCTAAAGCAACCATTCATGTTGAGCAGCTCGTTTTGAATGAAACTAAAAAGAACGACCAACCTTTGATGCAAAATGTTAGAAACATTTGGCTGATGCAGGTATAAAAAATGTCCTAAACCACAAAAGACTCCTTTCAAGTTATCCAACCAAAGCTGCAGCTACGACTGTGAAGGTGAGAAGCTTTAAGACGACCTGTTGCCAGGCTCATTGAGAATATAAAGGTGTCACTGTAAAGAGGTTAAACAAGTATATGTGTGATATTTAATTAAGCGCTCAATTGCACTTTAGCCTACTCGTCAAGTCGTGGGATGAAATACAGTCTCACCTTTCTTCCGTCTGGTTTGTCCACCAGAAAGACCTCGCTCCAGATCTGGATCCCGGTGGTCTCCCTCTCTGAGCCGCCCCTCCAGGAGAAGCCGGTCAGAGGTTCTTCTGGATTGCCGAGCCAGTTTTCAGACGCCTGAGCACCAACAGATCACATGTTAGGCTAACAGGTCATTTTACCCTCAGTGGCTTTGAAATATTGCTCTTTTTTTTTATTTTATTTGATCTGCTGCTTGAAAAAAAAGAAGGTATAAATAGGATAAAGGAAGATAAAGAAATGCATAGCCATTTTATTCCAAGATTACTGTACATAAGCAGGTTGGTGCATGCATGTAGTAATATAATATCATAAATATTCTTCTTTTTTGCCAGTTCCTTTGCTATATTTCAATGTTTTTATGTGCTACATCAACTCAGAAGCTAAATCGGGAACTTTTCCACCAGCACGACTGAGCCGATTCACGCACACAGACTGTATGATCTATACCACGCAGACTGGAGTAATGCTTTTGCAGAGACTTACATGGTTGTACATGTAACGCAGCATAAAGTCCATGAGGAAAGACTTGCCCTTCCGGAAAGCCCCGGCCACGGAGATGGCCACCACCTCACGATCTCTGACCTCCTCAGACAGCAGGATGCGACTCAGCGCCGCCTCATCCAGCTCAAAGGTGTGGTCATCTTTGACCAGCAGCACTTGGATGGGCCGAGCTCGTCCGTCTGGCTCCTCCTCCTCTGAGCTCCAATCATAGACATTTTTATCACTGAGGGACCCTGGAAGAGAAGACAGTCGTGGGAAATCATAAAACCTGAAGCAAGAAAACAGCATTAACATTACAGTCAAACACAGAGATGGAGGCAAAATGTTTTATTTAAAGAATTTATTGTGTCAATGAAACACCAACTAAAATGTTGTTGTGTGAGTTACTGAACAGCGAGAACGTCTTCACAGTGATGATAAGCGCACTTAGCAGTCCATTAAGTGAGGAAACAGGAAAGTTGAGTCCATTACTCCTTCCTGTTTCAGCTCCAGATCAATAGCATGGCCTGCAAGCTTGTTAATAATATTCCTAATGAATCAGGCCACACTCTTTTTATCCAATGAGATCATGTGCATTCAGAGGTTTTTTCCATGCAATGACTCAGTGTCTTTCCAGTCTCTGCTGTCTCATGTACAGTGTAAGGGCTAAATGGGCTTCCTGCAATGATTGGAGGCTTTCCGAGCTCCCAAATTCCCCACACTGTAATGTGTGTTTACTGAAGACGAAACAAAGTCCAAACACACACCACTAATTCCAGTCACTGCAGCTGTGGTGTTAATTTTGAGCTTTCAATGCAAATCAAAGCATGGATACAACTGTTTAAAAAAGCAGCAGTGACAGATTAAGGAGTAGCAGACAAAATTTTAAGGATGTGTTAAATGATTAATAAAGGGTGCCAAGAATGCACGGTGAATAATTCAGCAAGGAATCATCCAAGGTTTCGTCTCAGGCTTGAAGGGGACTATCGGGGTGGATTCACATCTCTTGCAATGGCCTCTTCAACCAGGCCTGGCATCATGAGCCTGCCTGGTTAACCTGATCGTGTTCCTCTGCTACTGCTGTTGCTCTTAAAACAGCCAAAGACGTCAGAAGCGGTCTGCTCAAAGTGGGTCAGCCCAGATAAACTCTCTGATGACAAACAGCAGCATTTCACCCTTTCCCCCCTCACTCCTAATGCAGTCATTCAGCCCCTTCCTTCCCCTTGCAGGCCTGAATTTATAGTTAACACAGAGCATAGCGTGATGTCAGTGACAATCACCAACAGTGATGATGGCATTAACGGTCAGGGTGCAGATGGTGGTCCTGAGGATGATGAGAGGCTATCTTCTGATGCAATATTACATAATTGTATGCCAGATGCACCACGTACAATCACGAGAAGCTCACTGTGATAAACAAAATACACCAGAAGCTGGTTTTCAGGCCTCTTAGGGAGGTCCAGAGAGCACTAACAGACATTTCCCTACGCGCTGATCACTGAATAAAAATATAATATGTCTTAGAAATACAGGTCTGTGCTTGCTTATGCCTGATTAGACAATATTCCTGCAGAGACTCACAAAAGCACGTATTTCTCACGATAAATGGCGTCATGTATTGCTGCATTCAAATAAATAAACACTGGTCATGATACGGTCAAAACGAAACCAAGCCTTTCATCATGGAGTCTAAGATAAACATCTTACTGGCTTACACCCTCTCCTCCTCGGCAGGGAGGATAAAAAACGGTTTGTGCCGTCAAGAAAAGCAATGAAATATGAAATACTGTACGTACACTCACCCCAGCTGTCTCTTTCTGGACGGTGTTTCGCCATAATACTGTCCTTATATCCCTTTGATTGTGGGTTACTGAGCGACCCTAGTCGGTAGTCATGAGTGTATATCGTGGGCTGGGAGAATGCCCTGGCTCCACCAAAACGATGCTCGTCTCGCAGGAGGATGATGGAGCTTTTATCCTCAATGCGATGCAGCCATGCTGTATCTCGCTAGGGGGCGCAGTTCTAAAGCAGCAGCTTCAGGCATGGGACGACAGCTGCAGTTAAGCTTATATTGCAATGTCTACAGAAAAGAATGATTAACGATTATGTGCTTGAAAGTGCGACCAGAAACGCATTTCTTTGTCGCTGCCTTCACGTGAAATTTCAGCTTCTACCGGCAGGTGGCGGTAATTACACAGAGGTTGAAAGGTATGCCCCCTTCATGTGCGCTTTTGTAAAAATGTAAATTCCAAATGGGTAAAGCAGTAGTCAGTATGTTGTTAAAATACTACATTCAATAAATAAATAAATACAAATTCCCCTCTTTATTGAACTGTTACTATACGTTGAACTGAACTGTAACTTTATGAAAAGAAAACATCAACTCATTAAAACAATTACCCATATCATATTCTAACACATGGATAAATATTATTGCCTTAAAATAAAACACTTTCATGTTGGGTAATAAAGGAAATTACAGATATCTGGTTTTAGACCTATTGATATCAGATAATTATTTCACTTAAATTGTATTTAAAAAAAAATAATAACCTAAAATATTACTATAATCATACATCAAAAAAATTCAGACCTTTTTCCACCAACCCTTTGAAAAATAAAGATATTCTCTTATTTAGAATATTTTTATTATTCCTGATTGTATTTTGTGGCATGAAATTATGCTTGTAAAGCATTTTCAAATACAGTAATGCCTGCAAATGATAACTTTAAGGGGTCATAATTACATCTCAACAGAAATTTTATTCATCCAACTTTTTTTGAAAAGATATGCTGAGATACTAAACCATAACTACATCAAAAACGAGCCCATAAATCAAAATTTGGTTCGAATAGATAATAAAGAAAAGGTACTATTTTAAAAATGAGACGTCTAGATACATTTCATGTGCTTTGAATGCCCTTTATATTTTTATTTCTTTATTACAAATCGAATACTTTTGTTATATTATTAACGATGTAATAAATACGTGATTGTGGTTAGATTATTTTCCGTGATGCACTCGAATGCAGCAGCGTCCAATAACTGCGACTCCACAAAGATTAGTAACACACTGTTGCTTTTAAGGGAGCGTGTTATTTCAGTAAATCCAACAGTTTATTGTTTATGTAGTCTAACGTTAGTATTCTACCCATGAGCCCGAGGCTAATCTAAAACTGTCAGCCGAGGGAAATGACATGGCAACGGCAAAACTTGACGCTGGCTTGCGGGGATTTGAAGTCGACCCTGTCGCTTTTTCTCTGAAGGAGTGAACTGCAGCAGCAGCAGCAGGACCAGCAAGCGAGTGAAGTTTACTACTGTTCCCTCGATAACAAAAGAGGGGGACCGCCTTTGTTTTTTTGGATAACTATTCGACGCCATCGCACAGTTAAAAGCCTGAAAACGATTCGGAGTTCAAGACATGCTCCCGCCGTGTTTGTGTTGTTGAAGGTATACACTGTTGAAGTTAGAGCCAGCCGAAAAGCTAACTTTAGCCAGTTAGCTAGCGTTAGCTGACCCGCCCGGATGCTAAGCCTCTCACTGGCTCTGGCTAATTGCTGGAATGACCACAACCTGCATGTTAATACCGTTATAATGGTCACTGCTTTTAAATGCTTGTCTCTTTATTACTTTTGAGGAGTAGTTGGCGGTAAATTAATTAGTACTTGCGTGACAGATGTCAAAGCTAAGCTCGTCCAGGGTTATTACTAGAGATTAATACTCGCTGTTTTTCTTTTGTGCACTTTTCCCCAAAAAACTTTCCACCTTTCAGGACATGGACAACAGGGACGGGCAGTCTGAGTAACACTGACTCAAAACCATTGTTGCATCAGATCATCGACACCACCGTTGGTCAGTCCAAATAAATGTAAAGGCATCTCTGGGTCAAGTTACCATGGATATCTTTACCCGGCCAAGCAATGAAATCCAAAGGAGGAACCCTCAGCATGACTTTGAACTCATTCAGAGGGTTGGAAGTGGCACATATGGAGACGTGTATAAGGTACAGTGATGTTCCCACAGTCTATCATTAGAGCTAGAGATAACATAACCCACCACATCATGACTAATCAGGCTGTCGCTGTAATTTAAGCCAGAGTGGTGTTTGCTTTGTAAGCCATGATAACATGTGGCAAACACATTGACAGGAGCTTTTGAGTGAGAGCCAGGTTGTGCATCCATTCATGCGCCAAACATTGCATATGGTGGCGCTTACTGTTTTTTACTTTATCTTATTTTATTGGTTGGATCAGTTTGTTACCTGTATTTTCCTGCTTGTGGAGGCAGTGTTGCTAAACCAGTTTGACTGTTGTGCTCAGGTCGTTGCTTGTATCTTCTTGTTAGTTTGCTCTAACACTTTTGGTGGAGACAATGCAACATACATCAGAAATACATTCACCACTTACTTCAATAGGTACACCTGTTTAGCTGCTTGCTAACTGAATATGTCATTAGAGAGTCACATGGGAGTAACTCAACAGATAGGCATGTGGACATGGTCAAGATGGCCTGCTGAAGTTCAATTTGAACATCAGAATGAGGAAGAAATAAAGGTGATTTAAGTGACTTTGAATGTGGTTGTTGGTGTCAGATGGATAGTCTGAGTATTTTTGAAACTCTTTATCTACTGGAATTTTCCACCACACTATCATTGGTTGGCTTTACAGATAATATCTGAAAAAGACAAAAAGTGTCTAGTGAGCAGCAGGGGAAAATGCCTTGTTGATCCCAGATATCAGAAGAGAATGGCCAAAATGCTTTAGGCTAATAGAAGGGCAAGAGTAACTCAAATAACCACTCGTTCAGCATACCTCGTTATACAGAAGTATACAGAAGAGCATCTCTGAATGCATAACATGTCTAACCTTGAACCAGATGGGCTACACCAGCTTACGTTGTAAATTGCCCTTACTTAGTGTACAGTCTCTTATTTCTTATTTTTTATTTGCATTTTCCATCTGCCTGCACTTTGCTGCTGGAAGACTACAGTTTCCCCCAGTCAGGGTCCATAAAGGATATTTCTATTCTATTCTATTGTTCTTTGAAATGCGGTGGAACAGGAGATTCACATCATGGATGTGCACGTGACAAATGTGCAGCAACTGTGTGATACTATCTGTTAATATGGGCCAAAGGAATGTTTTGAGCACCTTGTTGAATCTGTGCTGTGAAGATTTAAAGCAGTTCTGAAAGCGAAAGTGGCTCCAGGACAGTACAAGGACGTACCTAATAAAGTGGTCAGTTAGAGTACATTGTGTGATGCATAACTTTTCAGAATAAGAGTTCAGCTGTCAAATTTGTGTTTAGTTTTTGGACATGGATATAGAAAGACTGTCAGCAATAACATATGATTATTTGGTTCCTTTTTCTCACTTGCATATATATGTGCTATATTTATTTTGCAGCTTTTTGTGAGACAGTCTAGTTTCGTAAGTTTTTCTTTTTGTGGTTTTTCCTTTTTTTGTGGAAAAACTGGGCAAATAGTCTTGAGTCTACAGTCTTTTATTGCAGTTAAAACCAGAGGTCCAAAGTAAGAAACAGTAGAGAGAGAGTAATTGACTGTTCGGGTGATTTGTTACCATGTTCTTCTTGAAAAATGGCAAAGCTTTACTTGTTCCAGCTGCACATTTATGAGGATTTGCTCCTTTTCTTTGTCAGATTGTTGTGAACCTCAAGCATCTGGAGAATCCCCATAGAAAATCGAATGATTATATTAGTGCGTTGATGTATTTGTTTCAAGCCAATGCTGTTTTGCGTATGTGTTATTAATTTGCTGGGTATAGCCGACTAACTGCCAGATGTTTCCCACTGTTTGTCTGGCTGCGGCGAGGTGCGTTTTGCTGGAGAATTTTCTTGTTTATCCATCTGTCGCACACAAACAGACGAACCATCTGATGTAGACGTGATGGTTCAGCCGGGCTCACATGGCCTCCCTCCATACAAAGCCTTCCTGGCCAGCGAGCCAGCCCACCCTCCACCCCCAGACAGGCCACCGGTGGTATGCTGCGCCTGGTATTCTCCCGGAGCTCACAGGCTCAGAGCTGCAGTGAGTTGAAATATGATCAGGCCCCTGTCTAAACATGCGTTTCACTATGGGTGTGTTCTGCCCTTTGACAGAGAAAGCGCCTTTAGATTTGGGAAAAGTCCTCAGCATGGCATTCCTCACCTTTGAATGTTTACTACATATGAATATATTGGTTTAACAATTTCATGGCATCTCTGTGGAGGTTATTTTGGTTTTCTTTAGTTGTAGAGTAATTCCCCAGGTTGTGAATCTTTTTCTGGTCAATTTCCTGTCATATAACACAATTAGAAAGGGAAAAACCAATCTTGGAAGGCCAGTAGATGAATGGAGTATCGATGGCTTTGAAAATATTTGCATCAAAGTTAAGTGTTGAGGGACAAAGAGGGAACTAAGGGATACTGTAAATAGTCAGTCACTTGTAGTAAAATCATTCTAGAAGCTAGTCTCACCACTCAGCAGCCATCTTAGTTACACATCCATTATTTGACCAGCTATTTTACAGCCTTATCTAAATTACTTATATTTTGGTTGTCACAAGGGCATTAAAACTGCACTTATAGGCTCAACAATCAAATTTGACTTAAAAAAAAATGCTAGAAAAGTTTTGTTTTCCCAAAATAATGGGGTACCTGGAGGTATTTTGAGTTGTGAAAAGTGCCAGGTCTTTCACACTTATGATGTTTACTCACTTTGTTCTATGTATATGTTCAGTTTGAAGGAATCAGCCTCACTGTAATTACCCTGAATTTGCGCAAACATGAGACCAGAGACGTGAGAGAGAGATGGAAAGAATCCTAATGGAAATGAGAAACAGTGTCACATGCTACATACTCTCTGCTTCATCTCGTATGTGGGTATTATAATGAAAACTCCCCCCTTTAGTGGCTTATTTCTTAGGTTGGTTACCTCTGCTTCAGGAAGTAACAAACAGAGGTTCAACACAAATACTAAACACACTTGAGTTTAAAGCAGAACAGTCACATGCTCTCGTAATATGTGCACAGTAGGAAAAAATTGTTCTGTTTTCTTAAATGTCTTTATGTTTGTGTGCACGCAGCTGCATTTTAAACAGTTTAAAGCTTTGTTTGGGTTGCTGTTTACATGTGTGAATCACCACCACATTCCACTA